AGCCTAAGCTCTAACTCAGAGTCACTTCATCTAGCTCATAGGAAACGGTGAAATCTCCTGAGTAGCACCATCCTTAGCATTTAGCCACCTAACACTGGACTGCAGGGACCTGGGGTTTCATTAACCCCCAACATTTTAACCTCAATTTGAAGTGCCTAAACACTTTCTGTAACAAACAAAAAAGCGTAGAACAGGCTTTTATTTCAGAGAGCTGTAAAAGCAGGGTGTTGTGCATTCTCTTTTATTCAAAACCTGGGGAAATGCCACAGACTTTAGAGTCCACAAAAGAGAGCTGGAAAACCAGTGCCCTCCTCTGGCTGACAGCATGTAACTCATTTTCCACAGACAACATTCTCCTTGGCCTGGTAGTTATGCAGTTGCTCTGTGTAATGTTAAACTGTAAGAAAGACAGACAAAAGGGAGCAAGAAGGTCCCATTCTAGAGCAGCCTGCAGCAAGGCTGTGTGATTGCACTGCATGGGAGAGTGCAAGGAGGACCCTGACCCCCCCAACCGGTGTTCCAGATACCAGGACATGTCTGCATTGTTCCATTTTTGTGCAGAGATGTAAGATCTGTTTTCTAAAAGCAATGTGTGTAGAGAACGCCAGACTGATTTTGAGTTACTTTTATGTCCAGCTGGTTAGTCCTCTGCATAAGTGTTTGACAACACCCCACTGTTACACCATCTGCTCTGATCCCAACTCTGAAGCTCTCTTATCCCTTTCCAATCCCTCTGACTTCCACAAGCCATACCAGTCCTTACTCCTCTGCTGTCCAGCCTCCAAACCCTGTTTTCCAATTGCATGCTATTACCACCATTTCCAAGCCCCACTGGTCCTTTATTATTTTTTATGGCATGCTTCTGCCTTCTTGGCCTTCTCTTCCATTTTGCACAGAGAAAATTCAAGTGTCTTTACCCGTTCCATCTTCTTCTCATGTGCCAGCAAGCAGAAAGGCTGCCCTCTTCATCTCAAGCCTTTTGCCTCACAGCCTCATACAGAAGTGCTAGTGTAAGGATGGACCCAGTTGCTACATGAGGTGTTGCTGCTATCTGTGGGAATCAGCAGCTACTGTACGGGGGGTAGAAACTGCAGATCCAGAAATAACTTGCTGAAGGATAAGAAATTATTATGCATCACCTGTTCTGTTACAGTGACCCTGGTTCACATTATTTCCTCATGGTAAACGGGAGATGGTTTGCCTCTTCATAAAGGCATATCACATTTACTCCAGGGTAGGAACATGCCTCTGGGCAGCTGCCATAATTTTTTTCCTTCATGTGTCCATACAGCTTTCACTATTTTGAAGCCAAATAATCATGTGCAACATGACTGTTAAAGTGGTGATATGAGGTATCACACTTGATCTTTGCACCCTACTTCCTCTCCTCTGCCCATTACCAGGGAGGGACAGGGTCGAAAGGAGAAACTGGAACAATTAGCAGAAACTAAAACAGTTTTCTGGTCCAGCAACCAGAAGAATTATGTGGATTACAACTAAGGAGCGACACAGAAAAGAAACGACTTAACAGCATGTGAAATGGTTTGCAGGACTGATCTAAATTACCAGTGTAGCTGTATGCTTCATTCTGGTACTAATTACCAGCTGAGCCCAGAGAAGCTAGGTTTTTTATTTGGGCAGCTTAAATGACAGTCTGTAACAGCTTGTGTACCTATGCAATAAAATTTCCTGTATTTCAATTTTGAATTTCATGCAAAGTAAATAGAAAAAAAACACCAACCAACTCACCCCCCCAAAAAAATAAAAACCCAACCCAAACCTGGAAATGTTTATGACAGTTCTCTTTCTGATGAAATATATTAAAGAACAATTCATTCTAATGTTACATTGTGGCACCAACAATAGATGTTGATCCAGAATCAAAACATGAGGGAGTTTATTTTCTGTATTAATTCTTGCTTGCTCAGCAGGATTTTATTTAGGAAATAGGTGAAAAGACCACTGTCATTGTGAAACAATTAGCTGTGATCAAAATTTAATCTCAGATATCAATAATATTCTCACACTTGTTACAATTTTGGACTACATTCTCATTTGTTAAGATGGATAGTGTCTCAGTCTGTAAACTGTAGCTTCAAAATATGTACAATATTGATTGTAGCTAGGAGCACTTGATTAACTCCCTGAATATAGAATACGCTTGTGTAGCTATGTTTCAGTTAAGAAGGTACAACATGTATCTTCAGATTAGTGGATAGTTTTAGACAAGAAGAAAATTCTTCGTACAATGTCATATGTGTCACTCCACAGCAAATTTCATAACTGTTTGTTCCCACGGAAAGCAGAGACGATTGACATTTCATATGCAAGTGAAGAAAAGGCATACCAACCTAAGTAGACACAAATATCAGCTTTTGAAATATGAAGATGGAAACAGCTAAAGAAAATTGCATCTCATATGACCTAGAATCCTCAGAAACCCATACAGCTTTCCTCCAGTATGTGCAGACTGACTTCAGATTTGTTGTAACTCTGTAAGCCACAGAAGCCACAAAATCCAGATGATTTTGCTTTCTTTGATCTAAAATGTTGAAATTGATGATGAGTCATACATAAGAACTGTAATTTTTCTGACTTAGCATTGAGGATTCAGAAACATCCAACTGATGTAAAAGTGAGGTTTCCAGCATGGCTGCAATGCTGTCAAGTAAGCAAACAAATGCAAACGCATTTTGTGTATGCGGTAATTAAAATCTGAGTCTCTGAATCTTCTGATGCCTTGGAACAAGGGCAGCAATTGCAGAACATATACTGCTTACTTGGGAATGGTGAGATGCAGAAAATGCAGTTCACAAATGGAAGTGGCTTCCCAGATGACCTGTTGAGGAATAGTGGTGGGTTTGGTGTGCGGCTGGATCCTTGAGGGTCTGATGCTATATGACTTAGCTGTCAGCCTCCTAAAACTTTTCTGATTGCCTCCTTCTAGTTGGACCAGGATGCTTTCTGCTTGTGTGGGTTGACCTTGGCAGGCTTCTAGTCACCCAAACAGCAGCTCTCTCACTCCCCCTCCTCAACAGGATGGGGAGAAATAGATTGAAATAGCTGATTTGTTGAAATAAGGACAGGGAAATCACATACCACTTATCCTCACAGGCAAAACAGAAAACTTGGGGAAGAGTAGTTTAATTGCAAATTAAAATAGCATTTAATGATGAGAAACAAAGGCAAAAGCTAAAATGCCTTCCCCTTCTTTCCAGGGCCAACTTTGCTCCTTCACCCCCAAATCCTCTACCCCACCCCAACCCTGAGTGGTGTAGGGGATGGAGAATAGGGGCTGCAGTCAGTCCGTAACAGCTCCTCTCCACCATTCCTTCCTCCTCAAGCTGTTCCCCTGCTCCAGCCTGAATCCCTTCATGGGCTACAGTCCTTCAGGATACACCTGCTCCTGTGTGGGCTCTCCATGGGTCACAACACTTTCAGGAAGCATTCACCTGCCGTGGTGTGATGTCCACTGGGGCTGCAGGGTGGACTGCTTCATCATGGTCTTCTGCAGGGGCTGTAGGGGAGTCTCTGCTCAGGCATCTGGAGTACTCCTGGAGCACCTCCTCCCTTGCACACCTTTCAGCATAATAATAATAATACTTATTATTAGTCTTGCTGTATTTTTAACTTGCACATTATAGCCCAATATACTTCGATTAGTAGATAAAACTTAAAATTACCTGAAGCTGGTAAGTGAAATTCAAGTTAAGTTACCTTAATATAGGTATTAAATAACTTATGCAGCTCCTATATAAACATCTAATAAAGTTCAAATCTGCTCAGAAAAGTCAAACTTCAGAAGTTCTTGCAGAAGCTGGTACCAGAGAAGTATTTGCATTGGTATCGTAGCCTGGCATACATCTGAGAACAGTTAATGTGTTGGGAAAAAGATGGATCATCCTGCGCACCTGCAGGATTTTGTCATCCCATAGGTATTTTGTTAAAACACAGCTCAGATCTTTTTGTTTTTGTGGCAATGTACTGCCCAAAAAGTTAAGCACAGGTTAAAACCAGCTCAGATATAATGCTGCCATCATGAAGGGGGGAGTTGTTAAACTATGTGACAGTTGCAGGCAGCACTCTGCTAAAACCCTGAAAGGCCAAAGCCACCATAAAAGCAGTAAAAACAGGAGATTGATTTCTGCTTGAAGTGTTTTCATGTTGTTTTCCAAGTGCTTGAATGAAAGGCCATGCTTCTGTCCCAAAGTGCCATGATAAGATTAATAATAAATAGACTTCAGCATTTGAACCCAACAGCGGAAAAAGGTCAAGGGCAGAGGGAGGGAAAGAGGGAAAGCTAAAGAAAGGAACCAAGGATCCAGGACAATCCTATACGGGCAAATGTAAAAAATAAATGTTTATGAAGCGAGGAGGGGGGGGTGTGTCTGGTTTTCTGTCATCTAGGCCCTGTATGAGCAGATCTTTCAAGTATACATATACTTTGCAGTCTGACTAATTATAGTACATCGCATAGACATTTTCATAAATAGCATCTCACAATATTAGCTGCAGTCATTAGTGAGGTGTTTCATTGGGCTGTGAAACCTTTTGCTTCAAGTAAAAGGGAACTTCTACTTCAGGTACACTTTTCATGGTGACTGGTAAATGTTAGCTCTCTAGATACCGTTCATTTCTGACAGGGATGTGCCTGTGTGATCTTCTCAGGGATGGGTCTTGGCTTGAGGGATGTTGGACTAGCTAGTTCAAAATCAAAGGATGATTGGGCCACAGCAGCCACATATTTGCACTTCGGTCAGCTGGGCTTTGGCTTCCGTGGAAATGTGGTGATTAGATCTTATAGAACAACTCTCTAAAAGATAAAAGATACAAGTATGCCACACAATTCAACATTATAAGATGATCAGTAAGGGTGCAGGAGTTAACAGTGTTCTGTAAACACATAGCAGCACGCCATCCCTTTCCTGCCATTGCCCTAGAAACAGTCTCCCGTTTGCTTTCTTTGAGCTCATACACTGTATTGCTAATAAATAATAAATAAAGTAAATGTTCAGACTGGTATAATTTAAGGTGTAATATTTGTTAATATCAGTAGGTTAGCCTTCTCTTCATTCCTCCTTGACACTTCCCAAGCCCTTCAGTTCACCTGAGGAACCACAACAACGCACCAGAGCCACAGTTCTTTACCCAGCATTGGATTTTCATCATCTTCCTCCAGGAAGCACACTCCTGCAGAGCAGAACACAATAAACCTCCCTGGAGAGAAATTACACCTTTCAAACACAGAAAACACAGCCCCTTACTGTCTTTTGATTTTATCTACCTTGAGTCCAGATCAGTAGTGCAGTCCCAGAGTGCATTTCCCAGTCCTCCTTAATGATCGTGTTTTGATTCACATTACAGAGGGGTCCCTGAACACACAAATTTGATTCCTTTCACATGAAACTAAACTGGAAAGTGCAGATCAGATGCCAGTATGTGTGCAGCTCAGGGGACCAACTCTAACCTGGCTGAAGGAGGACATCCTCAAATGTGTATTGCAGGTACAGATGGAAGGTCCTCAGGACCAACTGCTCTACAGATCTACTCTCTGTACACATTGACAAATTCATTGCCAAATTTTAATCGTTCCAGCTACAGATGTGGCTTTAGGAAAGTGTGCGCACTGCTATGTGCTCTGTGATTGGGTCCATTATGCACAGAAAGCTCAGGGCACATCTCCCATCAACCAAGGGGTATTCTGATGATCTGAAGGGACAGAAGAGTGGCTGGTTGATCGGCATCTCTTCTTCCTCCATACACAATGCTATCTTGAAATGTTGGAGCAGCATAGACATGGGGTTTTGGCATTTTAAGAGGTTTTGCCACTTTTTCAGGTCAGACAAAACAAATCACACTTGGATGTGGCAGGGCCTGGATGTTGGTAACTTGCAGTTTTCTGGTTTTCATACAGCCAGCAAAAGGGTTCCTGGCTTTTTGACTCAAGGACAACTGTGGTGCCAAGTAGTAAATCATGAAGAAACCACATAGTTACTTAAAATATTGATGCAAGACATTTTATAACAGAAAGATGCTGGTTATTTGAAATGAAGTTATCACCACTCCTTGCCTTAGCATGCAGAGTTTAGAATAATACAACTGAGCTTGCTGATTCACTTCAAAAGAAAATGCTGCTGTACTGGAAGCATAATTGTAACGTTACTACCCAGAATAAATTAGTGTACCCAAGTTAGGAGCAATTGAAAGGTGGTGGGAAGATGCTGCAACAGAAGTTGTATTTCTCTGCTAGTTAGAACAGTCTTTGTCACAGCTTTTATTTTAAATAGATGACAACAGAAGCAGACTCTAAGCACTGGATTTTTCAGTAGAGTTCAGTAAGCTTTTGACATTTAGGTATGAAAATAGGCTGACAGGTTTTCCAGAAAGCCCAGATTTGGAAACTGTTTACCTGCTGGGCTCTTTGGAGCACCAGGATATTTCTAGACAAGACTGGCCTTTTCTATCTTATGACTTGTCCTTGTCTTAGCTGGGATAGTGTTAATTTTCTTCCTAGTAGCTGCTGCTGTGATGTGTTTTGGTTTTAGTCTGAGAACAATGCTGATAACACACCAATGTTTTAGTTGTTGCTCAGTAGCACTTGCCCTGATCAAGGACTTTTCTGCCAGTGAGGAGAGGCACAGGAAGCTGGGAGGAAACAGAGACAGGACACCTGACCCAAGCTAGCCAAAGGGGTATTCCATACAACAGCACGTCATGCCCAGCATATAAACTGGGGGGAGCTGGCCAGGAGCCACTGATCGCTGCTCCTGTCAGGCTTGGTATCAGCCAGCGTGTGGTGAGCTATTGTATTGTGCATCGCTTGTGTTTATAGGCTTTTATTCCCCTCTCTCTCTCTTCTTTGTTGTGTAACTTTTCATTGCAGTTATTATTATTATATTTTATTTCAATTATGAAACTGTTGTCATCTCAATTCATGGCTTTATCTGATTCTTTATCTGATTCTCTTCCTCACCCCACCAGGGGCCGTGGGAGGTGAGCAAGTGTCTCTCTGGTACTTAGTTGCCAGCTGGGTTAAACTGTGACATGAGTCAATAGATTTATAAATATATGTTAGAGCTTATACAAAATAAGTACTTATTTTTATACCTTCATATTACATTTCTCTTAATTTTATATTACATTTCTTTGTCTAATGCATTTTTTGTAACATTAAAATGATGTTCTATTCCCTAACAAAGCTCTCACTCTATGTCATTAGTCAGATACCTCAAACTAGTAATAAAACGTTTGAAATAGCAACATCATGCTGTTGTACTGCTGGATTATTTTCTCTTCCCTGTGGAAAAGTGCCTTTTAAACATGTTGCAGTTTAATCCCAGCTGGCAACTAAATACCATGCAGCCACTTGCTCACTCCCCCAGACCGCCTCTGGTGGGATGGTGAGGAGAATCATTAAAACCCATAGGTTGAGATAACAGTTTAGTAACTAAAATAAAGTACAATAATAACAATAACAACAACAATAATAATGATAATGTTAATAAAGTAATATGAAGGAGTAGGAGAGAGAGAGAAAGGAAAAAAACCCAAGGAAAAACCCAAGTGATGCACAATGCAATTGCTTGCCACACACTGACTGATACCCAGCCTGACCCGAGCAGCGATCAGTGCATCCTGGCCAACTCCCCCCGGTTTATATACTGGGCATGATGTGCCGTGGTATGGAACATCCGTTTGGCCAGTTTGGGGCAGGTGTCCTGTCTCTGCTTCCTTCTGTCTTCCTGTGCCCCTCCTCACTGGCAGAATATGGGAAATTGTATTGCCCTTGACTTAGAGTAAGCCTTACTCACCAACAAGTGAAACATCAGTGTGTTATCAGCTTTAGTTTCATACTAAATACAAACCACAGCATGCACCAGCTACTAGATGGAAAATTAAGTATTCCAGCCAAAACCAGGGCACGTTAGAAATTTATGCTCATTTGTCTAGCCATAAAAATAAGAACTTTTTGAACAACAACAACAGTTTTGTTAAATATTTATCTTACTTCTAATTCTTTCCTGTGAAGACATCTCACAATATCATTCCCCCAGATATCGTAAATTAATAGGAGACTTTTCCTGTTTCTCTCACAATAGTCTTTAGAACAATGGAAGCAAATCAGCCGTATTGTTTTCTTCTTAGATGTCCAAGTGCATATGATAGAATTAGATGGGATTGTTAGTTATGTATCATAGGTACTTGTAAGCTGCTTTTCAACTCAGCATATAAATACTCAATGAAACAGATGTTTTCCTTATCATCTTTTTTAAAAATATAAAGCTAAGTCCACATAAGTGCTGACGGAGGTGAGACTCTGCAGATTTAAGCCTTTTCAGCTTAAAATAATGTAGAAAAAGCCTGCCACCAAGACAGCGATATTTTAGAAGAGTGTTCATTGCTTACAGGAGTCAGTCAGCAAATAACGAACATGTACAGCAATAGTTTTCTAATAAAATACACGCTCACCTGCACTTGTGCTGTTCATCATCACTATGACTACAATGTTCCTCACAGTTCAGCATCTTTCATTTCAATTCAGCGTCTTTCATTTCAGTAGTAAACTAAAATAAATCAGGGACGTGACACGTCTGTTTCTCTCCTGATTTGTCAGAACTGGGCTGTCGTAAGCACCAGCTGCAGTGCTTCTCGCCATGCCAGCCTTGCCCTGGCCAGTGTCTCAGCAGAGTGGGGAGGTCTGTCAAGTTATACCCGCTGAGGAGCTTTCAGACTCTTCCTAACTCCAAACACAAAGGCCCGCGTGGCAGATGAGGTTTCTTTTTCCTTCCTGGCCCACCATCTGCCTTGCAGAGAGGGTTTTCAGAAAGGCAGAAAGAATGTGGCTTTGGCAGCTCTGGGTAATGCAGGTTCCCAGAAGGAAGTTGGATTTTGATCCTGCCTAGACATGCACAGTGAAAGGAGAATGACACCAAATCCATCTCCAAGACATACTCGCTGAATTGTCCTTTGTGGTTCTCTTAGTAGCAAACTTGTCCTCTTCATATTCATGAGTGGGTGAGCAGCACGACCTCAACATATGGATCTTGTCCTGGAAAAGGAAGCGGAGACCAGGATTAAAAAAACATTCTGGTGAGCTGGGAGCCTCATGTGTGCTGAGGCTATGCAAGAGCGCATATGCATTCTGGAGGGCAGACTCTAAGCACCTTGGTTCTTAGCGTGAGAACAGCTTTAACTGTTTTCTCCTCAGTTACACTGACCGTATTTGGCTCTGAGCTCAACCCAGCAGCAGCTATGCTGGAGGAACTGTGATATTGTACAGCATAAGGAGACTTTAGCAGCCCTTCCACCATTTGTTCCCAGGGATAGATTCTTGCTAAAAGTGGGTATAACGTGAAAAGACAGTATGTACAGGAAGCCATTTCAAGCAATAACATCTTACCCACAGTGGTGCAAGCCGGATGCATATCTGGGGGTACTGGAACCAATATGTCTAATATATCCATCTGGGAAACATACTTTCCTGCATGCTAAAATATATTTCAAAGTAATGTACCTAAGTAATATAGATGTTGCGCATTTCAAACACCTCGACAGAAATAAAAATAGAATTAAAAATTGTGATATATCTTCCTGCTGAATTATACTGAATAAATGGAAACATTTCTTATTCCAAGAACGGAGCCTTAAAAGCAGACTGCATTCTACCATCATTACTACAAATTCACTTAAACGTTCTTTTAAGTATATGTTACCTGGGCGATACTGGGCACTAATCAATAAAAGATGAAAAAAATGCTCCATAAAATTCAACTGAACTAACAAAAGCAAGTCATTTCTCATTTCCCCTCAGCCATCATGTGAAAGTTCATTGTGTGCATATTGAAATTCAGAACACGGTTCAGAACCAGTTCTCTTTCCTTCAGTAACAATCCTATTGTCAAGCTCCACACGACATTCAGAATCGTGTTGTGCTGTTTCAGAAGGAATATAAATATCCAGAGCTGTGTCAACAATAAGTCCACTACAGATTATGCTACCAGGCATAGAAAGTGCTTTGGTAAAAATATGTCTTTTTGGAGCAATCTACAGGTTTTGTGATTCTGATGCAATTCCATTTAGCCCTTTGTAAAAGCAAGAATTGTAACAAGTTCGGGTCTTGTGAAGTAATACTCCTTTCATCATCTCAAGCATCAATAGCGTGCATGACTTGATGAAGAACAAAGGGATTAATGATATTCTGAAAGTTAAGTATGACTCACATTTGTATCCTCAACACCATGTCTTTCAGACAGGGAGGAAATAAATAGGAGTAATATTTCATTGCATCTCCTGGGGCTGCACAATAGTCCTATCATTTCTCTTTATGTAAGATGTAGTACATCTTACTTAATAGTTTTAGCCAATGCTTTCATATTGATTGATATATTTCAGCCAATTTAGCTTGTTCCCTACTTACAAGCAATTAGTGCCACTTCCTGACACAAAATACCTATCTTGGGGCAGGGAGGAGGACTTATGTGAATGTTACAAGCTTAGAAGTACCCTGTGATACAGACAGAAGTTCCACATTCAAACACTGTGTGTAATTAATACTATACTCCAATACCTGCTGAATCTACACTCTAATGCTGCCTGCATTTTCTACAAAAGAACCCGAAACTTAAACACAGAGCAATGCTGTTTCAAGAGCATATGCAAATGCTGTATGTTGTGTTTACACATCAACTACATGCCTCAGAAAAGGGAAATGTAGCTGCTCCAACTCCAGTTGATATATATTTGAGACATGTTATGAGATGACAAGGAATTGACAGATATTTAGGCAGATTGGTGATGAGGTTTCATCCCTATAACGGAGTCATCTGTGCCCAAACCTGAAGAAGGAAAGCCAGGAAGCCTGCTGATGGCCAGGGAAGCCTGGGGAGCAGCCCCTGGTCACCTCAATGCAGCAGAACTGTCATGGGAGTATCCTGCAGAAGGAGTCCAGTCTTGAAGCAGAAGGTACATTTAATCTGTCAGAAACAGGTGGGTTTTGAGCAAATTAATGGTTATCACAATATATTCATCTAGGGGAAGAGGCATAACATTTCTTGAGGGGAAGCTAGGGCGGGAGACACAAATCATAGAATCATAGAATAGTTAGGGTTGGAAAGGACCTTAATGCATACAAACAAATCATGTGATTACAGTAAGTCAAGAGATCTGCTCTATCTGCAAAAAGTTATATTCATCTCCTATCTTTCCAAGCAGAAATTTCACTATTGATGTTAAGGGACTACTTATTAAATCACTCTGTCAAAAAGATTGAAGCTGAATTCAGACCTTTATTACAGTTGGGTAAGTGATTGATGGGAAATGCTTGGTACAGCTAGCTTTCTTTAAAAAAAGATGGACAAGCCATTGCAAAATCATCCTAATTCACTACAAAGCCACCATTGGCCAAAAGTGTCATATTTCCAGGTGCACCCTCGCTGCCATTTGTCAGATGGTGTGACAGCTTACCCAGTGGGTTGTGTTCTTATCTTGAAAACTTCCAGCAGGTAGAGAGAAACACATGAAGCAAGATAGCTAATGCTCCATACAGTCTAAATCCCTAATAGTCTCATATTTCTGGACACAAATGTAATCATATTAGACAAGTTCTTATGGAAATATATTCATTTGGCTTTATTATCTACCAAAGGAGATTTCATGAGGTTCTGGAAATCCAATAAACCTCCTATTTATAAGTCATGGTTTGCAAGTATTTAGAGATGTGCTGCGCTGGAAAAACTGCATTACTGGGTTAATGGACACACACTGAGCTTCCATGAGATTTGGAAGTTCTTTCTGAATTTTTGTGGAGAAAAAGATAAGAATATATTATAATTTAAGAATGCCATTATTCTAGACCCCTTAATCTCTCATTAACCTGAACATGCATTAGGTTAGAGTTGGCACCTTGCCTAATTCTTATCTTACATGCCACAATCACTGTGCATGTTAAAAACCCACATTTTCTGTTTCTCCTTCTTGACAGTTATTTCTTTTTCCTAAGTATATAGTTACGTATTAACATAATGATAATGTAATTGCTTTTGTGCTTATAAGCATTATATATAACATGGATCAAGGACAATGTAAGCTGTCGCATTTGCGTAAACATTACAATAACTAATAAAATGCAGTTTAGACAGATTAGTAATGATACAAGCATGAGAAATATAGCTATTCATAACAATGCATACGGCTATGCTTGAGAAGGCTAACTATAATGATAGAAATCAATGTATGGCATGATGGAAATGGTTAATAAACTTTGAAAAGTTATGCAAAACTAGAGTATGAGAACAGCAGAAGGCTGAAGAAAATTAGACTGGGAAATGCAATGTAATATAGCAATAAAGAAAAGCTTATGCAGTTCTGAATTACACACTGTCACAGCACAGGGAAGTAATAGTCCCTTTCTGTGTGTCTTTAGTGGGCTGACAGACTGTATGCTGCATCCACTTGTGTGGTTCTGCTGCAAAAATTAAAACAAAATAAAAATGAAATGACAGAGTCCCTTGACAAAAACATTTGAGAATATTTTACTTTATAATGTTCTACTAAAACCAGTCGCTGGGGACAATTAAATGCAGCATAAAACATGACGTACTTTAATTTGCTTTTACATTTTGATTAAGAATTGCAGATAGCAACGTGAAAGGTATTCTCCAAGCAAATGGCATAACTGGCAAGAGCCATAACACTATTTATTAATGGAAAATGACATTTAAAGCAAACTGAATACCCATCTGATTAAGAATACAGAAAGCTGTTGGGGCAATGCAGCTCAAGTTCAGTGAAATATACTAAGTATTTGCCTTTGAGGATGCCAAAAGCTGATAACTATTAATAAGCATTCTGTTATGGATACAGTGGGAAAACTGAGTAAAGTGTGACCTTCCTGGTACACCTTGAAGCAAACAGGTTACTATGCTGTAAATTAACTGCAGTCTAAGTATGATTCACTGGGGTCCACACTAACAAGAATTTAAGTAGTCTGGTCAATAAGTGACAAACGCATTCATCAGGATCTGGAATCACTTTTACTAATCAGCAGTTGGAGATTGGCAGTATTTGAGAGAGACGTCAACAAATCAGAATAAACTGAGAAAAGGGTAACAAACTGATTAACATGCTGAAGAATTGATTAATGAGAAAAGATTAAAAGACCTGATTATGTGAAGGTGCTAAATGACAGCTTGTATTTTATTATGTAAGCCAAGAAAGGAGAAAGATTGTTTGGAATGGATGAGTGAGAGCAAGTGACATGGGCAAGCATATTTGTCCACAGAAGGTGTTAGTGTTGGGAGGAACCAAAAGGCTCTGGAGAAGCATACGTTTGAAACTGGGTTTTGAAAGGTAAGGATTTTGGTTTGCAATGGCTGCAGATTCCTTTGTATCCTGTGGTTCTTGATGAAAAAAAAAAAAAAAATAGATCTCTTGGTACCCCAGTTCTTTCAGCAGCAAAATGGGCTCAGTAACGCTTCTTGATTTAAGGGGACATTTTAACATGAAAGTTATTGAGAAAGGTACTGAAATAGTAATGAGAAGAAAGGTATCTCTATCTGGTTCTTAAATATCATCTTATTGACCTAAATGGGCTTTTACTTCTGCCTTTTGACTGAACAGAGATATTCTGGGAAATGAGAGGCAAGACAACTGCAAAAGGAACAGATCTGGCACCATGGTGACCGGAAAAGTGAACAGCAGAAAATCAGAGAAGAAAACAAAATGTAGGTAAACATCTGGAAAAAGAGAGGTTAAGGGAAACAGAAGAACTACAAGAGTGAAGTGTAAGATGCAAAAGAGAGGCATAGCAAAACATGAGAAAGAGATCTCAGTTTCTCAAGAACACCTAGCCTGAATGTGTTGCTGCCTTAAAAACTGGTGAGGCACCGGGACAGCTTTATGTGCTGGAAAAGGACACTGCTGCACAGGGCAGCAGAGCTCTAGCAGGTCAGTAAAATGGCCACTGCCCCACTGCCTGTGTTGCCTGCCTCAGAGCTATTATCAAGTTATATTGGTGGGGAGAGGGCACAAGCAGTGATGAAACTTCCATTTCCTGCCTCCTTGGAGCAGCAAGCTTCAAGCTTGGCTTTCCTGAGCTCTTGCCCTCACTCTGTGTGTATTACTGTGCCAGCAAATTCAGTTTGGCCTAAATAGTGAGTTTTTTTCCTAGCTTTGAGAGGTCTTCAATACTTGAATCACTTGATCAAGCTTCTGGACATGTGAAACTTTAACAGAGGGCAAGTATTGATCTGAGACTGGTGCCACACACTGAGTTCTGAATTGAAAGAAACAAGAGAGTACTGTGCTAAACATTCTTTCTCTTCAGCTAAGAGCCTTCCAGGCAAGAAAACTTCTCCAAAATTATGTCTGCAAGGTGGGTGGTGAGTGTGGAAGGTAAATCTGTGCGGGACTTGTTGGATGGGCTCTCGTGTCCTACACAGTGACCTTACTCTAAATCCTGGGCCATGCATTTGTTTGCTGAAGCACTCAGGAATAACACAGATGAAAATTATGTGGAGCTGAAAAAAGAATGTTAATGTCATTTAATTAAATAGAATATTTAATAGCTAATGAACTACGTGTGAAAATAAAATGACACAGCCAATACTACCTGGTCCTTTCTTGACTGTTTTGATTTTGCACGCGCTCCCTTTGTATTATCAGAATATGGTGGGATCCTTGTTTGTGTTATCCAATTTGGAAATTATGAAGGTGCCAGGTTTAGATAGGTGTCAGCTGAGTATCTGAGCACAGAAGATGAGTAGAAAAAAACTGGGACAGATAAATGAGTTCAGCAATTGGATAAACTGAGTATTTTTGATAAAGTAACATTAGTGAAATAGTTTATATGATAGAACTCCTGTGTTTTGAGTGTTTTATTGAGTCTGATTCTGCATTTAGTTAGACAACATCTTTGGTTTGGTATCAGAGGCAGTGGGCACAGACTGAAACACAGGGGTTCCTCCTGAACATCAGGGAACACTTTTTTACCGTGGGGATGACTGGGCACTGGCACAGGCCTCCCTGAGAGGCTGTGGAGTCTCCCACCTTGGAGATATCCAAAAGCCGGGAATGGTTCTGTGCAGCCTGCTCAGGTTGGCCCTGCTTGATCAGGGGGGTTGGACCAGGTGACCTCCAGATTCCCTTCCAGCCTCAGCCTTTCTGTGTTCTTTTTTTTTCATGTGAGCACTGTTCCAGTTTATCTTCTTAATATTTTTGATGTCTTCTTCACAACTACAGGAGTTGGAAACCTTTTTGGGGTAAGAATTAAAGTTGAGATTAATAAGCATAATACTCTGGCGAAATAGCTGGCAAGGGCAGGATGCTGCCGCCTGATGCATAGGGGTGCAGGGGCTGTAAAGAACAATTTAATGGCTTCACTCAATTCACTTCAATCAATAGATCTCTGTTCTCCATTTTGTTCTCTTAAGATAAAATAAAGCAGTGTTTTCACAGTTAAGCATATCTGCATTGTATCCAGATCTCCAGCAAATTAAATTGCTCTCACTGGTCTGGCAGCTCTGCTCTGCTCTTGCATATTCCCTGCTTCCCTTTGGTTGTGCATCTTCCTTCCTACAATTACTGGATAAAAATAAGCGAAGGCGGAATTTTTGTCTGCACCAGCAGCGGACTGAAAAGCTGCTGTTGGTGTTCAAGAGCTCACTGAGGATGACAATTTTCAACAATCTTTAGAGCTTCCTACTTTCACAGGAGAGCAGTTGGGGGTGAGCAGAAGTGAAATTATTGTATAATTGCAATAAAGACACATCTACTTGCCAAAGACGGAAGGTACCAAATGTGACAGAGACATCCCAGATCTGCCATTTCATTGGTGTGGCATTCCCTCCTCCTGTAACAATTTGTGTTGCAGAAGCAGCTTGTTCAAATTCTTGTGGAGTTCTTTTGCTTCGTGAGCTGGCAGGAAAGTGTTTAGGGTTTGTTTTTTTTTTTAATACATGTATCAAAGAACAGAATAAGAATGAATAGCCAGCTGGCATAGTGTGAATTTGCCAATCAAGCATGACTGTATCACTCAAGACTAGCTGGAGATGCATCCAGACAGATAGCACAACCCAGACATTGCTTTTCTAGCTAAAAAAAATGGCATCCCATCCATCCCAGGAGGTCAAAAAATAACAACAAAAACCCCAAAGCCAAACCCCATGAGGTTTACTTACAATTTATCTGAACTTGTTAAAAGCTTTCATACGGATTGCCTAGTTAAGCTGAAAGACACAGGGAACTGAGACAGAGCTGCAGGTTCAGTTGGAAACTCACTGCAGCTGCCTATTCACTGCCCTGGAAGGGGAATGTTTAAACTGGGAGAAGTACTGTCACTGATTCGTAAAGTTTGTTCTGGAGCAATAGTTTGTATTAGCAAATATTTCAATATTGTGAAGGTGGGAGCGCTCCAGACACAAAGAACTGGGCAGAACTGTCGATAGAAAGGAGGTTCAGAAAACACTCTACAGAGGTGACTACATCATCTTGAGGACTGGAATAACAGAAATGAGACAAAACTCAATAATAGAAAAGATAAGGTCAAGCACTTAGACATTTATAAAAGGCATTTCTATTATGGACTGTAAATGACAGACAAACAAGAAGTAGTTGCCTTTATCAGTCACTCACAGCATGACCCTGAGCCATCAGCAAAATTTGGTGATATGAAAAGCAAATTGGCTGTACAAGACGAGATAGTCTTGGAAGAAATCAGGAGAGACCATCTCCATTGCAAAGACCGGCAATACTTTGTGAAAAACATGCACATTGGATATCAGCTATGCTAAAAAAAGCTGAATTCAAATTGTATCTAGTGCAGTAAAACCTGAGTTACAGAGGCTCTCTGTTACAGGAGGAGACTAACAAAACTTCCTGATAGGCTAGACAAGTTGAGAGTAGCTATGACTACTGCCTATAAATCCATTATAGATTTCAATGTAAGGGAAAGAGCAATGCCTAACTGAAACACTGTATAGCAAAAGGACAAGTGGGTATGAACTGGTCATGAATGTGTTCAGGCTGGGCATTAGAAGGAGATTTCTAACAGTTCCAGCCCTCCAGCAAGAAGTGCAGGAAAATAGCATAATTAGCTTAAGATGGATACAGTTGTGTTTATGCAAAGGGTTATATGAAGTATTTGCTCCTACAACAGCAAAGTACTATCTTCAAAACACAAGATCCTGTGGCCTAAAGATCTGAAAGGTTTATCAGCTTAAGCTGACCAGATTGCTGTATGCAGATCGAGCAAGCTTGAAACATCCTGGCCAATGTATCTCAGCAGCCCAGTTACAGCAGAACAGGCCCCATGCAGGTTAATGTGCCTCACTTTATTGATGAGCAGAGCTTTTCCAACAGCTAGCACTGGTGCTAGCAAAAGAGCAAGTAATAACAGAAGAACTAGTGATGTGACAAGGGGTAACGGCTTTAAACTGAAAAAGGGTAGATTTAGATTAGGTATAAGTAAGTAATTCTTCACTATTAAGGTGCTGAGGCACTGGCACAGGTTGCCCAGGGAAGCTGTGGCTGCCCCATCCTTGGCAGTGTTCAGGGCCAGGTTGATGGGGCTTTGAGCAACCTGGTCTGGTAGGTCCGTCTGTGTCAAGGGGCTGGAACAAGATGACCTTAAGATGCACCTTAAGGTGCCTTCCAACCCAAACCATTCTGTGGTTCTATGATAGGAAAGTTTGCTTGGCAGAGGCAGTCAGCATAAAACTCCCTGTGCCAAAAGGAAATTGCTCTCAGTCACAGTATTACAGGACTTGTCTCTTCATCCCTGTATTTAAAAAGACAATCATCTGACTTTATGTGTCTGACCACTGTGCCTACCCCAAAGCCTACTGAGGGATTTATGGCCTTATTCTTGACTGCTCAGCTTAACGAACTGCTCAAATGTCTCTTCACACAACAGCTATACCTTACAGCAAGCTGGTGACATGCAGCAGCAGAGAGACCAAGCAGACGGGCAGTACAAACAGTTTGTACAGTGGATTAAAAAACTTGTATGAAATGTCAGTGACGACTGAGGCAGGAAAACGTCTTGTTGCATGTAAAGCATTGTCCTGTGGTTTCCCTGTGTGAAAATGGTAACAGTGCTGTCAATTCACACAAAGCTTTCAGCCACACTACAACAGCAACGCAAGGTTTGATGTGCCTGGCAGCCTGTACTCTTGCACAGCTTCTGACCCTCTGAAGCATTCCCATGCCAGAGGCTGGAAAAACTCTTAGACAGTAAAAGCACAGTGTTACAGAAGTCACTACCTTCACTGTAAACATGTTTATTTACTTGAATCGATACAAATGCTCCCGCCATACGTGCTGTTCCGTAAATATTAAACACAACCCTTAAAATTAATCAGCCTCAGAGATGCTCTCTTTGCTTTCTTCCCCATCCCCACTCACGCCGGCTTATTAGTGAATAACAAACCACCTCCCGGGATGACGAACGCCTTGCCAAAGGTCCGCCTTCCTCACCGCCCCTCGGGACCCGCTCGGCTTTCATGCACCCAGCAGTGCTATCCCCACACGCCCTTCGGCGGCGGTACCCACCACCGGCCCGGCCCCCCGCTGCGTCCCGGGTCCTGCCCCTTCACCGCTCCCAGTGGGGCGGCCGCCGCTGCTCTCCCTGCCCGCCGAGCGAGAAGAAACCCCTCACCTCCCCTCCGGTCCCGGGGGAGGGGGCTGCCATCACGTGTGCTTCCTCCCCCTCCTCTCCCTCCTCCTCCTCCGCGGCGGCGGCAGCAGCAGCGGCCGCCTCGGCTCCGCTCCCTTTGTTGCAGGCGGAGCGGCGGCGCTGCCGGGCGCCGCGCACAAAGGAGCGCGGCTGGGGCGAGGCGGCCCCTCCGGCGGATAGGCACGGAGCTCTGCTCCGCTCCGCCGGGCTCAGTAGCCGCGCTGCACCGCACCGCCGGGGCCAGCCCTGCCTGCCGCCGGGCAGCAGTGGAGGAGGAGGCGGCAGCGGCAGCAGCGAGTCTGTGCGGCCGCCGCGGCGGGGATGCTGAAGGTGTGCTTCGGAGCGGCGGAGAAAGGACGGTCCCGCCCGGGCGGCGCCGCGAGCTCCGGTTGATGCTGCGGGCCTGCCGCCGCCATCCCGCTGCCGCCGGCGTTGCTCCTCGGCAGCCCCTCGCCATGCTGGGAGAGAGCCCGGCCGCCGCCCGACCGCTCCTGCGGGCGGGACCCCCCTTGGCGCTGTGCTACACCTCGGCCCTCCTGGTGCTCGCCCTCTCCTCGCTACCCGCCGGCCGCGCCTCGCACCCGCTGCCCGGCTCCGAGTGCCAGGGCGGCGGCAAAGGGAAAGGCATCAACTGCTCAGGTAACGAGCGCCCTGCCGGCTCCGCGCACACCCGTGCGGGCAGAACACGCGTGCACGTGGAGGGCTCAGAGCGGCCCCCGGCTCCTCCCGGCACGGAAAACAAAGGAGCGGCCCCAGCCCCGGGTGCGGGTGGGTCGGGCCGGCGCCCCGGCCGGCGGGGAGATGCTTCTCTCCAGAGACAGTGGGGTAGGGGGGAGCCCCCTCTCCACCGGCTCCCCGCCCAAAGGAAAGAGTTCGCCGCCGCCTCTTGGCTTTTGTTCCTCTCTGCCCCCGCCGCCCCCGACCTCTGTGCCGGCAGGTGCACGCCGGCCGCCCTGAGGGTTGTCCGCATCCCGCCCTGTCCCCCCGCCGCGCCGGACCGGTGCTGCCGCTGACAGGGAGCTGGGATGAACCGGTCGGGAAGAAAGCCCCTACCGTGCTCACCCGGGGTGTTTCTTCGGTGTCACCCTGTCCGTGTGTACAGCCCAGACCCCAGATCCGGGACAGGCTCTTCGTCCGTCCTCCTTCCGCCGGTTGCTGTGCAGATCCACTCTGCATGAGATGCAGGCAGTAAAATACCCTGTCATGTGCACAGGATAAGCTTCTTTTTAGGGTTTTTTCCTGCTTTGGTTGCGTGACAGGAGAATGCCTGCCCATCCTATGCATAAGTATATACTGGTATAATACAGTTTCAGTGTGGCTTGATTTGGCATGACAGCAGCACGTTTTCTTGTATCTTGAGGAATATGGTGTTTTCAAAGTAGAACAAAGTAAACACATACAATACAAAGTTTGCAATTTGTTACAAAGACTTGTTTTTCTTCTAAAACTAATGTTTAGGAAAAGTAATTTTTTTTTTTCTCTGAAAAATTGCTGGCTATGCCTCCTATTGCTTTGTAAAATGATGGCTTTATTCCACTGCAAGGATTGCCAGTGAGAGCCACACAAAGTGCCTTCTCCAAGGTGAATGGTTCTGCCTGTGCACTCAGCCCCACACTCCCATTGTCTTCAGCGGGGTTTGGAAGTCAATTTCCTCTTTGGAAGGAACTCTCAATACGTTCCAGGATAGGGCCCCCAACCTGTGTAACAGCTTTCAAGAAATGAGTGAATGGAATTGCGATCTTCCTCCCGATTGCAATTTTATAATACAGATAATGCTGCTAGAATAGGCTCTAAAATTTGCTGACCAGCAAACTGTGGCAAGATGATTTTGCAATATAATCAATCTAACTGTTATTCACTCTTTGATACGCTCATTTGTTCTTCATTTTACCTAGTTTAGATGTACACTGCAGTAGTGTGCGATATCACAACACTACTGTTGTACTGCTGCCTGACTTCTCCATTCTATTTGTCTGAGTATCATGGTTATTTTTAAAGAGGGGTTAAGAGGTTAATGTGTCACTGGTGTTAGTGGCTTACCCATCGGAGACATGTGGGTCATTAGACAATGACATGTGCATAAATCAGTGAGATTAAATATGAAAGGCTGATGAAATATATGAGGAAGTTTCAAAGGTAATGTGGAGCACACCATTATTTAGAAACCATCACGGAAAGAGGGCTTTCCAACCTGGAATTAGAAGACTGTATGCTATGTCGAGGACATTCAGAATGATTCGGTTCTACTAAAAATAAGCAGAAGCAAATATATGTGCTATATAGGTATATATGGCAGGCACTGCTTGGAAAGTAACTACAAAAATAAAAACAAATTTCATTTAAAAATGCAGTAGTCAGATTCTGCTGTGGGTTAACTGTTTCATGCAAAACTGCAGTGTCTCAGTTCTGAACATTAATTTTGAAAGGACTAATATCAACTCATGATCTCTGGGACAGATTTTCCCCTCACATACCTCTGTATAGCTTCATTAACTTTTACTGGATAAGCTACTCCCTGAAAAAGACGAGTTGCCTGTATTTACATGCGGGGCCAGATGTTGGCATTAGCACCTTTCTCAGTGGACTGCTACTGCATACGCTGCTACTCGCACTTAAAGTTAGACTTAAGAGCACTATTTTTACTCTTTCTTCAAACGTTTGGGCTTTCTAAAGTAGTACTTGTCATACTCAGAGATGCAAAATCCTCTCCTGTTTACATTGGGTTGACCTGCTCCCCTGGAAGAGTTTTAGACTTTTTTGGGGCAGTTCCTGATCTTGTAACATTTTATCATCACTAGGTTATGTAGCTACCTTTGTTTCCTGTTAGATGTTTAGGAAATGCTGTACTCCACTCCTTTATTCCTTTAGAATATACTGCTTCAGAAAGAGTTTGCTGCAGCAAAAGATCGTTGCAAGGTGGAGGACACAGGCAAACAACATGAAAATTAAGATAGATAGCTTTTTCAGCCTTGATTCTGCCCTTTCAGCCCATGCATAATTTTGTAAAATTATGATATAATTGCATCATCCCTGGCCAAGGGAAGAACATATAATCAAGTGATTAGAGCAGGAAACAGAGAATTAAGATGTATCTGGAGTTAATAGATGATGTGGACTTGCATGTATTTGTTCATCTGTCAGCCCATACTTCTTTGCTAATCTAGGAAAATGAAATAGCCCCATTTTACCCAGAATGGGGTAAAAACCAAGTTAGTGTTTTCTTTCTGGAAATGAGGGTCTTAGTTTGATGTTTTAGAGATGTTATATTATTCCCAGAGCAATCCATAGTCATCTTCTTTAACATTTCTGATAGTCACTGACTGTCTGTGAGTAGGGTGGTGTGATGCTTGCATCTCTTCTCAGGCCGTAAGACATTTGTGTCCTTAATAAAGGCTGTGAACTATTATTAAGCTACTATTAAGATTCCAGAGAGTAAAGGTAAGTACAAAATGTAGTCCACTGGTACTTTCTCCAGAGACACACACTTCATGTGGGCATCCTCAGTTGCAGTTTCAGTCTGGTTGAATCTCTGGTGTACGATATGCTCCGGTCATACCTGTGGCAGCCACAGAGGTTGCAGTTTGATCATAAATGACCAAATGCTGAGGATTTTGGTGAGAGGTGCACAGACTTAACAAGCGATTCTGCTCGATGCGTTGGTTTGGATTTGTATGCCCAGGATTTTAATTAACAGGAATGTGTTTCTGTTGGTAAGCCTTTCAGCTTGCTGCTCCTTCATGTGATAAAATATGCTTGTCTGGGACAATTCCACATACCTCCTATGAGTCTCTTAGGCCATATGCTGCTCCTAGTTTCTTAAATCCTCCTTAAGTGAAATCAGTAAAGATAAAACAGTTTCAAGACAGCTTATTGAGTATTGAGTGAGGTCAAGGAAAAATTAAGGACACCTTCGCTTTCATGGGATTCCTCTTCTGAGGGGTATGAAAGCTTTTCTTTTGCACAGTCATAACAAATCTGAAAGAGTCTGTAGATAAAAGTAGATGGAAATTAGTGATTAGGGAGAAGGAATGGGACAGAGGGACAAAGGAAGGTAGTTATCCTGTGCTAGAATGATTCCTTAGTCTGTAAGGAATGGGCTGTTTATTGAGCATGGAAATGCAAGCTGTCAAAAAGCTTGTAAATTTTAGAGAGAATAGCAGAGAAAGCTATAGGGGAGCCATCCTTCACCATGTATACATTATCTTAACCTTCAGTATGCTTTGGAGAAATGGTTTCTGCCTGAAATAACTCAAGGAGTAAATTAGACAAACAGAGAATGTGGAAACAGTAGAAAAAAGAGAGAGGTGAAGCAGAGTACATGGTAAGCCAATGGGAGTACAACAAGCACAAGCAAAATTCATGTGTTTTGATATTTTAAAATGTGGTAGGATGAGAAGGTAGTGGTAGACATCATCAGTAGGACAAAAGCATCTGAAGGCAGGACAAGAATAGGTTGGTAAGGGATGGGAGTCAAAGGTATTGATTGGTTCATGAGCAGGAATATGGAAGCAATATGAGAAAATACACACAGCTGGGAGTGGGAGCAACTCACAGAGGATGGACAAGGGTGGCAAAAACTGGCCACATCGTATGCTTTTGTTTTCAAAGCTTGCCTTTTCCCCTTGTGCAAACAGAATTTTAGGGGAAGAAGATTTGGGAAGGGGACAAGGTGAGTGACACAAGCAAGAGGAGATTCAGTTTAAAGACTAATAAGGCAGAAACATCGAGGAGAGTGATCATAAGTCTGTGTGGTATAACAATAGAAGAGAAAAATTGTATTAATTATTGATCACTGCACACACCCAAAGGACTACTGTCACTGCTACTGGAGCTGCATGTGGTACCACAGAAAAATAATACCTATTTTTGTCTCATCCTTGCTTCTGTCTACTTTCCACCATCAATGAAGATGGTCTCATTCAGAATTTGCAAGTCTTTTTTCTCTGCATCTCCTGCTGAGGTTGTTGTTCCCATGCTTCCTTGATGTGCAATGGAGTCTGTTCAGTTATGGACTCTTTGTTTCCATTACTTTGTTAGGTGCCTTCAAGTCTTGCCCTCCAGATTTTGTTGCAGGGATCCTCCAGGCTTAATATCATTAGATG